GAAGGTGCTGCAGCTAAAGACTTGTCAGCTCACTGCTCTCCTTTTGACACGTTCTCTTGAAGGGAAATCTCCGGAATGTCCCTCCATATTGCCACGGGGTAAAGCAGATTCACCTGAGTAACTGAGAGTAACTGACACTTCAAGTAGGTCAAAGCATTTGTACAGCCTAACTTATACGTTTTAAGGTTTCAAGGAGAAGTTGAGGGAGAAATAATCCTAGGGTTTTTTTTGTTTGTTTGTTTGTTGGTTTTTTGTTTTTTGTTTTTTAAAGAAGAAGAGGAAGAAGAACAAGAAGAAGAAGAAGGATTCTGACTAAAAGTCTGAGATTAAACTCTCCTCCATAAGAAAAATAATTTCTGGAGGATGAGATGAAAATTCCAATTGACAAGTAGGTCAGGAAGATCTGAAGCTATATGATTAGGTCATGGTGTAATGGCCTGAGGATAAGTAACTGTGCTTTCCTAATTTCTGGGTACTGAACTCAATGTACAATAGTATCCAGATCATAGGACAAGAACTATGTCTGAATATTAAAAGGACACAGAAATGCAGTGGTGAAAGAGTGAAAAGTGTTGGACTGGCAAATGTGGCAAATTGTTATGAGGAACACCTGACCCCATTGTTGGTGCAAATGTTATGAGTAGAAAACTCAGCTGTTGCCCCTGAGAGTTAAGTAAGGAAGCGTTCTTTAAGTGGGGAACCTTGGAGTAGTCGAAGCTGAAAGACATGGAACGGTTTTAATAGAATGACCCCATGGAGTACAGTAGGAAACTACTCTGGCAGAAGGTTTCGGGAGTGCGTAGGGAAGAACATTGGGCTTTTAGATCTAATGATCATAGATTCAGTTACTCACTGCTTTGTCTTTTAAATATAGTTATAAGCATTCTAGTGGGTACTGGTTGAGACTATACCTACTAATGAGTGGCTTCAATAATTTTAAGATCAAAGTTTCCAATAAGAACTTGAGCACTGTCTGAAAAACATTTAAATAAGAAACAGGCAGCTCAGCAAACTGAACTGATTAAATGCAGTCGATATATTCAGAAACCTGCAAAGGTGAGTAGCATGGAAGAACACCATAGGATCTATGAATAATGGAAGTCACCTCCTTAGGGGCAAGACTGTCCCCATAAGATGACTTACCTATAACACTGAAAGTTTGTGCCCCACTGTCTGAGTCTCTTAATTCATAAAAGGAAAAAAAAAAATCATGGAGCTTGGCTTATGGATGACAATGCTTGATTAACAGATATTTGTACTTGAAAGAATGCCAGCTAACAGAAAATTTCTAGTAAAAAAAAAAATGGAGTATATCAGCAAAATTGGAAGAATTAGATTCAGTGTGGCTGGCATAAACTCCCACTGAGATAAATGGATGAGATAGATGGATGCATAAACTGATATCTACTATTATAGATATCTATTTATATAATAACTCAGTCAATTACTAATATTCTAAGCATTTGTTTTGGCAAATGAGGCACAGTGAATCAGACATAAAAATGCCAATCATTAGGATACTGCATTACAAAAAGCACCATGAGTCTTTAATTTAAAAATATATATTGGTCATATCAATACCTTTCATTTACATTCAGAGGTAGAAAGTGAGAGTGACTAAGACAATAAGACACATTTATTTATTCAAGCTTTGGCAATGTTAAGCCCCTGAAATTACTATGCATAAATCAATAAACTAGGTATCAATTTACACATTTCCAGGAATTGCCCTTGTTTCTTGGAATTGTCCAGCCTATAAATAGCCAAAGATATTATGTCTCAGTCAATAAACAGATCAAAAGGTTAAATGGTCCATAATCCATAAGACAAACAAGTTTTAACTAAGTATCCTCTTTTATTGACATTTTTTTTCTCGTTTTGACTTTAACACTGAGAGGCCTTGACAAGGACACAAAAGGCTAGAAAACCAGACTGTCAACGAACACAGACCCAGTCTTAGATATCAACAGATTAGGGAATAGAATTTTATATTACAAACAGAATAGGAGAAGAAGAACTAGAAAATTAACATGAAGTGATTTTCTCAATAATTCACATTCATCACAAAGTAGTGGAATAAATGAATATTAAAATGATCAATTTAAGTAATTACTAGATAATACTTGGGGTGGCAGAGCATTAAGGAGTAATGTTCCAGATTAAAACTACGTGCTACAAAATTCACATTGAAGGGCAATATAGGTAGAACACCAGTTGAACTGTCCAACAGATAAACTTGCCAATGAGATGGTAGAGGTGAAAAGTGTAACTTGTATCATGATTAGCCAAGTAATATTTAAAACAATGTCTATTCTAGTCCTTATTATTTTAAAATCAGAGATTGTTATGTTTTCTAATTAGAAACATTAAAAATCTTATAATGTGTGACTTGCTATAAAAATGTTACTGCTACAATTTTATTAATAAATTGCCTCTGAAGACAGGCATTTTGCAGATGCCAGCAAAAGGAAATCTTCATAGATGACATACTTACTAAATGCTTTGAATGTACATTTGGAATAACAGTGGAGAGAGCTTGGTCATGCCATATTTGCTTCTCAGTATTTGGAATATCATTCTAGGCTGTCTCCTCCGATAGAGCAAACATACATAAGGAAAGATGCATGCAGATAGAGAAAAAGATAAGTGGTGGGAGAATCAGGCATCCTTATTTGAGCACTTTAAAGAACAGTAAGTAGAGGACAAGAGAATGTGCTCTTAGCATTCTTACTTCATATGTCCGTACTCCTTAAGAAAGAATCTGGAGAAAAGATGTCAGCAGTGACCCAGCTATTTTGAGTCTGTTTCTGTGGACTTATACAAAAGGCTATACTGTATGCTCATATAGTGTATGGGCAATAATGGAATGAGCATTGTGGATGTGGCCAATTACTAATTAGGTGGTTGCAATTTGGAAATAGAAGTGGGAAGAGTGGGCTATTTATTTAGTATTGAGTTTTTCACCCTAAGAACCCAAGGAAAAATTTATTTGACAGTCAGCCATAATGCATAACAGTTGTCGTGTTTCAGAATCTATTATTTTGAGGTATAGAAATGTACACCAAGTTTCTAAACACAATGGAAAGGATCTTAAAAGTGGCTCATTCTACATGAATGACTGTATTTTGTGCACTAGAAAAATGACATTGCTTTTGCAGGTGGCCTCTAAACCCTATATAACTTAGATTTATGACACAATAAGTATAGTCTTATCATAACATCGTGCAATGATAATTGATTTGGGAACCATGAACCAGAATCAAAAAGATAACTGACTTTTATGAATCAGAGATATAATAAAGAAAAAACAGTGAAATGAGAGCCCATGAAGAGTTTCTGTTTCTGGATTCTGACCAAGAATGAGAAGATGAAGAAGCTTTGTGAATATGGACAAGCTAAACTTAGAAATGTTTGAATCTATTACAGACAACTAATCCCTTTAGCTAAGAACCATTGTTAATACTAGGAATTACATAATCTAATATCCATTGTTAGACAATGGCTAAAGATACAGGGATCACAATTTAAGGGAGCCCAAATCTGAATTCACTTTGGCAAAAATGGTGACATGACAAGCCATTAATGACTTCTAGAGCAGGATATGCCCCAGAGGAATGGTTCTCAGGCCTATCTTGCCTTACCACTGGTATGAATAGCCTTACCAACATAACACTTCATTTGGGACCTGTCTCATTATATTATGCATCCTTGTTTTACATTAACAAGATATAGCTAAATCCTCTTTTAATGGTTGCAAAATCTTTCTACTAGATGAATGCTCTATAAATAACTTGCTTCATTTTATTGGAAGTTCATGTTCTTTCTGCCACACTACATAAATAGTGTGGTTGTCAACCTTCCTTCTCAAAAGGAGATTCTCCACTACTTCAGTTCTAACTCAATGGGCATGTGTGAGGTTGTTCTCTTTTTATGACACTGTCTCCACATAAGTTTCATAAAGACAAAATAACAAAGTCCAGGACTGTTAATTTGGGAGTTTTCTATAAGTTACCAGTTGGTAGGATGAGAAAAGTACAGATTCTCTGAGGCCCTTCCACCCTGCTCACTGGTCTTCTCCAGACTTTCCTTTAAGTCATGGTTAATTTTATGTATCAATTTGACTGTATTAAGGGAGTTGGTAAAGCATTGTTTCTGGGTATGCCTTTGAGGATGTTTCCAGAGGAAACGAGTGTGCTCAGTTGGGGTACTGAGTGGGGAAGATCCCCTCTCAAGGCAGAAGAATGGTAAATTGTCTGCGTGTGTGTGTTTGTGTGTGTGTGTGTGTGTGTGTGTGTGTGTGTGTGTGTGTGTATTTCCTGGCGCTGAGACATCCTTCTTCTTCTGCCCTTGGAAATCAGAATTCCATGTTCTCCAGCTCTTGGAGCAGTCCCCCAATTTCTCCAGCCTTTGACCTCAGACTAAGAGTTACACCATCAGCTTCCCTGGGTCTCCATCTTGCAAATGGCCTATCAGTGGACTTCTCATCCTCCCTAATTGCATGAGCCAATTCTCCTAATAAATCCCCTCTCACATATCTCTCTGTGTGTATATCCTATTGGTTCTGTCTTTCTGGAAAACCCTGACTCCATCTCCTTTTGTTTTTAGTTGCCACTCTGGATGCTTTCTCCTGAAGCCCAGGGCTTATAACACGGCTCATTTATCCAGTAGGCACAACTGGCAAGGGTCTAGGGTCAATGATACTTTGAGGGACCCATAACAATGTTTTAATTTTCATTTCTTTAAAATGAGAAAAAAGTGAATGTAATAATAATGAACATAAAGATGAATCCACCCTGGATTGTATTGGACTTTATACTAACACTGTTAAAAAATATAATTTTTAATACTTTTAATGGCCAAAAAAAAGGGGTCTACAAAGGTAAAAGTAGCTAGGGACCAGTTCTGTTAAGATCTGAGAGCTAGGTTAGTGATTTCTTTGAGTCTTTGGTATGAGTTAGGGTTACAAAAACAGCTCTTGAGGTATACATGAAAAAGAAAGGGGAGAAATAATCAGATTAATACTTTGAGATTAAGCACTGCCATATAAACATATATCTGAGCTCTTGTCCAGTTATTTCTTTAGGGTAAATTGTGCAATGAATAAGCCTTGCCCTGGGAAAACCACCTTAGTGATCATGGTATCTCCCCTGCCAGGTAAGTATCTTTAGGATAAATTGTTAAAACTGAGATGGTGGGGAATAAAAATATTGAAGACATTTGATTTGTTTTACCACAGTAATCTTTTGGATATATTAATAGCTCTTATGTGTGGACGCCAATGCTATCATTAATTTTACTCCGTCAATATGACAGACTACAAATTCCATCAGGATATTTTAATTTATATTTTTAATGCTAGTGAAGTAGGATCTTTTTAATGCTTATTGGCCCTTTGAATTTCTTTTATTGTTTGCCTATTCGAATTCTTTAGCCATTCTTCAGTTGGAGTTTTTGTCAATTTATTATTGACATGTAAGACTACATATATTTAAGGATGCCAACTATGCTGTTATATGGGTTGCAATATCTCTCCCTAGTTGGTCGTTTGCCTTAATATTTGTCTATGATGCTGTTTAGAATCTCTCTATGTAGCAGGAAAGATGGCTTTCAGTATCTTAGGCCTATCCCTCTACACCTCAGAGACTGTGGTGTGTCTTACTAGCTTCAGCCCAAAATTCCTAGGTATGATTCCAATTGACTTATCTTAGACCAAGTTCTAATTCCTGAATCAATCACTATCCCCAAAGAATGCAGAGAAAGATCAAGAAGTGCTCTGTTTGGCCCAGTCTGGAATCTATGACCATTTGAGCACTTGGAGATGGAGGAAGAGGGCACCATAATTGGAGCCAAACCATAGCTAAAGAGGACAGATGGATAGCAAGACGTTCCAAACACAGGGACACTATACTTAACCGCAGTAAACTGCAGCAGTGTGCCACTGTAATTTTTCCCTGATTAATAGACAACAGTCCTGACCTCACTTTACAAATAACCAATTAATGACTCAAATATATTTAGGCACATACCAAACCAAAAAATATCCCACAAGTGTGGACAAATATAATTTCAAATTTGAAATTTCAGCACCAAAAATGCTGAATTAAACAAAGTTAAAGTGATCTCTTTTTTTGAGACAGAGTCTCACTCTGTCAGCAGGCACCAGGCTGGAGTGCAGTGGCGCTACCTCGGCTCACTGCAACCTCCGACTCCCAGGTTCAAGCATTTCTCCTGCCTCAGCCTCCCAAGTAGCTGGGACTACAGGAGTGCGCCACCACGCCCAGCTAATTTTTTTGTATTTTTAGTAGAGACAGGGTTTCACCATGTTGGCCAGAATGGTCTCGATCTCTTGACCTTGTGATCTGCCCACCTCGGCCTCCCAAAGTGCTGGGATTACAGGAGTGACCGGGCCCGGCCCTTAACTGATCTTTACTATCTACTACAGGAATTCTCAGAGCCTTTGAGATGCCAAGTATGAATTACCTACAGTTAAACTGTGTGTTAAATACAGAGTTTTTCGTGGTTTTTATTAAAGTGAGGATGTTCTCATATATTTTTTTCAAAAAAATACAGTTTGGTAAAATGTTGCTGTATATTAAATTATTATAAACACTTGCTTTTCTTCTGGACTTTTAATTTTATTCCATTGCTCTATTTAGTTAGGTTTGTCCTAAGAAATAGATTATACTGAGATGCTGTTAACTGAGAAATGTCATACCTTCTCCCTTCCCTCAACACACACTCCCTGGCTGCATGAGAATTATGGAAGACAAGGTAATTGCTTACTGTTAGCAAGGGCTTTATCTCCAAATCCCACTAAAGAATCACAATGAGCTTGCTTAAGCCGTGTCCAGCTATGACCGGTGCATTTTCTCACCCTACCTCCTAAACCTGGATCTCAGAGCTTACCACTGAATAGAAGTGAAACCCATACCTGCCAGCACCAGAGAAAACAGAAGCAAAGGAATGTAGCAGATGTTTATCACAGGACTGTTGTATGTGGGTATTGGTGGAAGCATTACAAACTCCAGCGGCAAGGAAGAAAAATAGAGAAAAGATCACATCTGTGTTTGTTAAGACTTTTTAGTTTGTTCAAGTGCTGTACCCCAAACAACATGGCCTACTCAATGCAAAGAAAAATGATAAATAGGTCAAGAGATCAAGACTATCCGGCCAACATTGTGAAACCCTGCCTCTAGTAAAAATACAAAAATTAGCCTCGTGTGGGGCAGGCAACTGTAGTCTCAACTACTCGGGAGGCTGAGGCAAGAGAATCCCTTGAACCCAGGAGGCAGAGGTTGCAGTGAGCCAAGATCGCGTCCCTGCACTCCAGCCTGAGAACAGAGCAAGACTCTGTCTCAAAAAAAAAAAAAAAAAAAAAAAAAAAAAAAGAGAGAGAGAGAGAGAGAGAGAGAAAAGAAAAATAATAAATAAAGATCAGTATTCTTGCTATAGGTAGAGACAGAGAGCTAGAATGAGTATGAGTATCTGAGCTCCTAAAAGAAGCCTATTTCTCCATTCTTCTACCAGTAAAATTATTATGATTAGTATATTTTCCCATTCCTCTCCTGTGTTCCAGTTAATAAAGCATCTACAAATGAGGCAGCCTGGGACAGGTGTGAAAACGAAACCAGTTCAAAACAGAAGACGTACTTTGGGCTTTCAATTTCTACCCTACGCCATACTCCTGGACTGCACTTCTGGGCCTTATTTTATATCTTGTTTTCTTTGCACCTGGAAAGGGACCAATGCCTTGGACTGTGAATTCTGAAATATATCCCCTTTGGGCAAGAAGTACAGAAAATTCATGTTCATCTGGAATAAACTGGATTTTCAATGTTAAATAATAATAACAATAATAATAATAATCACTCATTTTCTTTTTTCAAGATTTTGTGCTAGTCTCACTTATCTTTTGAATGAGCTCTAAGATACTTTTGTCATGTTATAAACAAATCCAATTAATTTTTTTTTCACTCAGGCTAGAGTGCAATGGTGCTGTCTTGGCTCACTGCAACCTCCAACTCCTGAGTTCAAGCAATTCTTCTGCCTCAACCTCCTAAGTAGGTGAGGTTACAGGCATGTGCCAGCACACCTGGCTAATTTTTGTGTTTTTACTAGAGATGGGGTTTCACCATGTTGGCCAGGCTGATCTCCAATTTCTGACCTCAAGTGATCTGCTTTGATCACCCAAAGTGCTGGGATTACAGGTATGAGCCACCATGCCCAGCCCAATTAATACTTTTTGAAACTTTATATTTTAAAATAAAGTACAGAGATTTCTCATATACCTCTTGCCCCTACACATGCATACTCTCGCCCATTACCAACATGCCCCTCCAGACTGTTACAATGTAGGTACAGTGGTGAACCTACATTGACACATCATAATCACCTAAAGTCTATAGTTTCTTAGAGTTCACTCTTAGCGTTATACATTCTGTGGGTTTGGACAAATGTATAGTGACATGTATCTGCCATTTTACAAGCATACAGAGTAGTTTTACTGCCCTAAAAATCTGTGCTCTGCCTCTTCACCCCTCCATTCCTCTTTAACCCCTGGCAACAACTGATCTTTTTAGTATCTTTCATGGTTTTGTCATCTGAGTATCTCTTGTATTATCTCCTAGGTGTTTTATGGTTTTGCCTTTTCCATTTAGGTCTATGAATCATTTTCATTTAAATTTTTGTGAAAGATATAGGATTAATTGTGATTAGATTAATTTTTTCACATGTGGATGTGCAGTTATTCTAGTGCCATTTATTGAAAAGACTCTCTTTGCTCCATTTTATTACCTTTGCTTCTTGCTGAAAGATTAGTTCACTATATTTACACAGGTCTATTTGTGGGCTTACTAGTCATATCATTGATTGATTTGTCTAATCTTTTGCCAATAGCATTACAGTACGTCTTAAAGACGAATTGTTTATTTAGAAGTGTACTTATTTGAGGATTTTTTAGTTACCTTTCTGCTATTAGTTTCTAGTTTAACTCCATTGCAGTCTGAAAGCTGACACTGTATGATTTCTATTATTTTAAATATGTTAACGTGTGTTTTATGCCCCAAAATGCAGTGTCTTCATAAATGTTCATAAAAGCGTGAGAGGCATGAGAAGAATGTGTATTCTGCTGTTGTTGAATGAAGTAGGCTATAGATGGTAAGGTGTGTTTTATGGCACAAAATGCAGTATATCTTCATATATGTCCATAAAAGCATGAGAAGCATGAGAAGAATGTGTATACTGCTGTTGTTAACATGAAGTAGGCTACAGATGTTGATTATATCCAGTTAATTGATGGTGTTACTGAGTTCAACTGTGTCCTCACTGATTTTCTGCCTGTTGGATTCACTCACTCCTGACAGAGTTGTGTTGAAGTGTCCAACTATAATAATGGTTTCATTTATTTCTACTTTCATTTCTATCACCTTTTGCTTTACATAATTTGATGCTTTGTTGTTAGGTACAATCACATTATGAAAATTGACCCCTTTATTATTAATGTCCTTCATTATCCTTGATAATTTACCTTGCTTTGAAGTCTGCTTTGTCTGAAATTAAGTAGATATTTTTGCTTTCTTTTGATTAGAGTTAGAATAGTATATCTATCTGTATTTATATTTAAAGTGGGTCTCTTAAAGACAACATATACTTGGGTTTTGCTTTTTGATCCACTCCAACATTGTTACTCTTTTAATTGGTAAATTTAGATCAATGACATTCAAGGTGATTATTGATATAGTTGGACTAATATCTACCATATTTGTTATTGTTTTCTATTTGTTGTCCTTATTCTTTGTTCCAATTTTTGTCTTTCAGTCTTTCTGCCTTTTATGGTATTAATTGAGCATGCTAATTGAGATTACATATTCTCTTCTTTCTTAGCACATGTCATATATATATACATATTACTTTTTAAGTGGTTACCCTAGAGTTTGCAGTGTACATTTGCAACTAATCCAAGTCCACTTTAAAATAGTTTGCCACTTCATAGGTAATGTGAGTGCCTTATAATAACAAAATAATCCTAATTTCTGTTTCTTATCCCTTGTATTATTATTGTCAATCATTTCACTTATCATAAGCATATATAGTATAGCCACAAAAGATATGTACATAAGCATACATAATCAAGCACATTGCTGCTATTATTATTTGAACAAAC